CCGCCACGCCGCTCGCCCTCCTCGCCGCCCAGCGCGCCGAGGCCGCACAGCCCCGTGCCGCCGCGGGCGCCCAGCACGTCGTCGCCGCCGCCGGTGGGGCTGTCGTCCATGGCAGCGGCGGCCGCGGCCGCCTCGGCGCGCTCAGCCTCGGCCTCGGCCATTTCCTCCAGTGCGGCCAGGTCTTTGAGGTTTGGCACCTGCACGTCGATGTCGGCCTTCAGAAGAAGCTGCTGGCTGATCTCCAGCAGCCCCTTGAGCGCGCGCTCGCGCGCGCGGCGCAGCGTGCGGCGCTGGCGAGCGTTGAGGCGCGGGTGGCCGTCCGGGCCGATCTTGGGCTCCGAGTTTTTACGGGCCTTAAAGCGCGCCGCGCTGCTGCGCCAAGGCGATAGGGGTGCGTGCGAAGCGGGTGTCGTGTTTCAGGCCTAACAGAAAGACCCAGCCATGGCGCTACGCACACGTTGGCACGGGCCTGCGCAAAGCGCACCGGCATGCTGCATACATGCACGCGTCGGCAAGAAGTGAGTCATATCCGCGAGCCTGGCAAGGCCACCTCCAGGGCCACGCATGCATGCATGTGCACCCCCATGCATGCGGCTGCACGCGTGCGTCACAGCTGCTAGCACGATGCGCGGCCCCACCTGGGGCGCGGCTGCTGCTGCATGAGCTGCACGGGGTCAAACTGGCTACCAAGGGCTCCGAGGTCAGCGCTGTGCGCCACGCGCAGCCGCCCCATCTGCGCCGCAAGCGGCATGCCGCTGACGGCGCTCGCCGTCGCGGCGCTGAGCGCGGCGGCGGCAGCCGCCTGCTGCTGCGCGGCAATTTGCTGCTGCATGTGCTGCTGCTGCTGGTGGTGGTGGTGCTGCTGCACGTGAAGCAGGCTGGCGGCCTGCTGCGCCTGCGCCATTGCGCTCAGTGAGCCTGAAAGGGTGTGGCCCAACAGCCCCGCCCCCGCGGCAGACAGCTGGTGCTCAAGCGCAGCGCGGTGCTCCAGCTGACGCGCAAACGAATTGGCGGCTGCGGCGTCGCGCAGCGAAGCCTCCAGCGCTGCGGTGGAGCCAAAGCTCTGCAGGTAAGAGGGGGGCACGCCGCTCACGGCACCGCTGAATGCGCTTGTCAGACTGCTCTGGTGGTGCGCGACCGCGGCCGCGGCGGCCGCGGCGGCCGCATGCTGCGACAGCGCGCCGCTCAGGGAAGGCGGCAAGCTGCCGTGCCCGCCAGCGCCAGCACCGGCGCTGGCAGCTGCGGCGGCAGCGGCGGCGTAGTAAAATTGAGGCAGCTGTGCCGAGATGTCGCCTGCCCCTGCGCCAAGGCCTGGCAGGTTGGCATACGCCGCTGCGGCTGCAGCAGCCGCGGCGGCAGCAGCGGCGGACGGCCCTGGTGAGGGTGGCAGCCCGCCCAGTCCAGAACTGCTGCCGAAAAAGCATGTGTCAGGGGAGGGGCTCGGCACGCCCACAGCGCTGCCGTTGCCCCTCGTGCCGCCGCCGCTGGCACCGCTCGCGGTGCCATGGCTGCTGCTGAAAGGCGACGCGCTCAGCATGACGCCAGGCGTGAGTGGGCTGCTTGGCAGCCCGACAGGCGAGCTGGGCCGCCCGGGGATCGGCGCGCTGCTGCGGCCGCCTGCAGAGCTGTTCCGCGCCTCTGAACAGTACTCGGCCGCCGCCAGGGACGATGGGCTCGCAGCGCCGATGGACCCGTAACCCTGAAGCATGGGCGCCATCATGAACGGAGAATATCCAGCAAGCCCCGCCATCGGAGAGCTGGACCTCATGGCGGGCTGGCCGCTGCCTCCATTGTGTTGGGTGTGCGAGCAACAATCACGACGCCTTGTACGGCCTGCACGGGTTGTCACGAATAAGATTGATTAGATAATATTCTTTTCAGGCCGTCACGGGGCCCGGAGGACCGCTGCTGGGCTTGAGCCGGGGCAGTGGTGAGTCGGGTGTGGGGTGTGGACCGCCCCCAGCCGCGAAGCGGCAGGTACCCTGTGCTTTGACAGCATGCTTGAAAGCACATCTTCAGAGCATGAAGGTCCCTTTCCTGGGGTCCCCAGCGGGCGCCACTCGCACGTCCAGTGGGCTCACCGTGTTATGAAGGCCAAACTAAGCTAAAGAACGATTTAGTGAATCGTAGCGTGAGCGTCGCCAGGTGATTGACGGCGGCCTGGATCGAAGAACAGGAACGGAAACACAGAGGCGGCAATGGACCACTGCAGACATCAAGTCGCAAACCCACGCGACGTCGGTTGTAGCAGTGCTACTGTATTTGATGCGATACCGAGCAACAGCGCTGCTGTGTGCTGGATCACAACCGCACGACATCAGTCGAAATGCAGGGCCCGCCTCACACATACCGGCATTCCTACTGTAGCCGCACAAGCGGCACCCCTTGTATTCTGCATCATGGCCCCTGAAAGAATTGTGATGGTGCGGCACATGGTCTGGCCATGCAGCATGCAGTACGCTGGCAAGCAGGGCTAGGAAAGGGCAGCACATCTTCAGAACCAACGCGCAACCACGAGGCCTTCACGCATGCTGGCCAAAAGCCCAACACCCTGCAAGTCCACTTTGCCGTAAGCTTACAGGAAACAGCACGTGGCTCTCAAAGCGGTAAGTTCATGGGGTTGTGGGTGCTGTCAGCCAAGTGACGTAAGCAGGGCAGGTTGCAGAGTAGCCCGGCACAGTCCATGATCGCAAATACTGTGTCATGATATCAATGAAACAGGTTGAAGGTGGGTCAGGCTGCCGCTGCACCATGGGCTAGGACAGTTGTCGGGGGTGGTGTTGCGCTTGTATGGCGCCCCAATGGAAGTGGCACCAACAACATGTCAAGGTCGTCGAACGGTCACGACCGCCAGTGCATATTATTGATTATGCATGGGCATGAATAGCGAGGGCAGTTCTTTTGAGGCAAGGAATATCGTGCTTTCAAGCTTCTCTGCAGCCATTGCGGCAGAGTGTGTGTGTGTCCGCACACTGCACGGGACGGCCACGCACGACGCTGATGACGTGCAGTATTTCCTTGATGTGATGTTCAAATCTTCCTCGCGGTGCCCTTGCTAACACGCTTAGACGCCCGCTTGGTGGCGCCTTTTGCCGCTGCCAGCCGCGCCTTGCCCTTGGCCGCCACCTTCGCCTTGGTTTCAGCGCGCACGACCACTGCCTTGCCATTGGCCTCAGAGACTGCAGCCACCGCGACTGCGGCCGCCTTGACCTTCTTGGCAGCGGCGGATGTTTTCCTAGAGTTAATCTGAGGCCATAGGTGGAAGACGAGTCGCACGGGCAACGTAGAGGTAAATGATTTGTAAATGGAGCAAGCAACACCTGCACTACACATTCTTTGCAACTAGGCACGGGGGCATGCGTGCCTGCGAGCTCGACCAGCCCGCCCCACTACGTATTCGCAGCATCACAGCTGCCTCGCACCTTTTTCTTCACTGCCACGGTGCTGACTGCCGCCTTCTCGCCCTGGTCCACTGCTGCGTTGATAGCTGCGCCAACCTGTTCGTTGATGTCCGCCACCGTGGGCTGCGCGCCAGACGTGCTTGGTGCCGCGAGGGCCTGCTACGCGAGGTGATCGGCAAAAACGACACAAGAGACAGGTCCTCACAGGCCGAACGGCGTGTCGGCAACAACTTCGCCGTCGCAGCTTTCAAAGATGAGCATCATTGCACGTCCGCATGCAGTGGATGATCGCCATCCCCAGCCGCTGAGGCCAACGGCCGAAGCCTCCGCACCCGCTACTCTTTGCTTCCTCGCACCTGTTCCTTGAGAACTGGCGTTGCTGGCTGTTCAACAGGGTCAGGCGCCGCCGCTGATTTTGAGGCAATTTGCCCCATGGAGCCGGCTTGCGGACGCTTTTGAAATCCCACAATCTGCGTGCTCCCGCCTTCTGCCCCGCTGCCGCCTGGATTGCGCTGCGTGCAGCCCGTGAATAAGCAACAGGTTGATGACCGCACTTGTGAGTAACTGAGCAGGACTGTGACCGGCATGCACCACCAAAGGGGCCGACGGTGGCTGCAGCCGTAGCGTCTCCTTGTCCTAGCAACACTGCGCCCGACCGCCCCATCTCTCTCCAGCATTCCCGCTCTCTGACATTCCAAAATAAACGCTGCTCTTTCATAAGCATTGTACCGGTGTTTGGGCACGGCTTGAACACTCACGGGGCGTTTCTGCCGGCCGATCCACCTGGGCCCCCTGGTACGTGGTTCAGGCGAGCACTAGTCTGGTCGGTAGATGGCACACACCTGATTTGCAGCTTCACGCTGGGTCCTGTGGTGTCCGCAGGCTGTGGTGGAAACCGCGCGCGGCCTACAGTATCCTGCTCACTTCACCAGGAAAAGGTCACGAAACCGAACCAACCACAGAGAATAACAGGCAAGTCAAAAGGGCAGGCTTTCGGACGGCCTCGTACTCCGCCTCAATGACGGAGTGCCGCTGCCAGCTGGATGACTGGGCCGGCCATCTCAAGGTGGCCGGTCTGACTTGCGTTATTCATAGCGCCACGCAGCAAAAAGGTTCGAATATCAATCATTAACGGTGGGAGCCAGGGATGGGCTCTGGCACACTCGGCCGGAGTGCCATGGGGGCAGCGACGCGGATTCCCGCCACCCACACAAGTGCAGCTCTGCAGCATGTAAGTAGTGGACACAGGATGCAGCAAATATGCTTTTGTGATGTACAAGTGGGTTTAACCTCAACTCGAGCATGCCCGGTCAACCTTAGTCAAACTAGCACTGCAGGCATTTGTCCTGCTGCGTAAAAGCCGACCTCCTCATTATCCGGGCAGTCAACCTGCCTTGCACCCCGACCCGCCCCCCGTCCCGGTCAGCTGCGCGACAGTTACAGGGACGGCCCCTTCCCCAAAGGCTCACGCCTCGCGTTCGCAGCCCGGCCGCCGAAGCCCTCTCAGACCCTGCCGACGCAAGCAAATGCCCGACGTGATGTGTACTTGCGCCCCCCGCCTGCCGGCCCCTGCGCTCTGCCGTCAGCGCTCACTCCCCCCCTCCCCCGCCGCTTGATGTTGTCTGCGCGGCATCACGTTACAACAGCACCAGCCCGGCCCAGCCGCTCCTGCAGCAGCGCTTTGGCAGCTGCCACCTGCTCTCTGAGCCGTGCCCCATCGTTATGCAATCGATGCTTCAGGTCCGCAAATTCCCTGCGACACACATCTGCGTCCTGCGGCCCTACCGCCTGTCCCACTGCTGCTGCATTGCCACGTGCACCGTGGCCCGCCGCAAACTCTGCCGCGTTGGGCGGTGTGGCCCGCGCGGCCGCTGCAAATGAGTGCGAACCAGCCGCACTGCTGGCACGTGCAGTAGAACAGTGCGGTTCCCGTCGGTGTGACGACGACGCTCCGCTGAGGCGTTCTAGTAGAACCCCGACGTCCCCGATTGCTTGCTGTTGGGGGGCAGTAGTTGGCATAGACTTCGGTGAGGGCGGGTGCAGTGTTCCGCAGCTGCCAGGCGGTCTCTGCCCTCCGCGTAGCACAGCGCGAGCCGACCCAATTAATGCGCCCAAATTTGTGAGCCCGGATTGGCATGCCGGACCAGATGCATGCCCCCTCACACCTCGTCGTCCCGCCGGGGCGGCCGCCCAAACGCGGTGTCGCGCACGGCCAGCAGCAGCGCCTCCATCTCCTCCTGTGAGCGAGCGATCAGGAGGTGACGCTTGGGGATTCCAGATTGACGCTTAATATCGGATTGGCTATAAAGGGCAGGGAATGGCAGTCATGCACCAAGCTGCTGTATGCAGATGCAAATTTGTAACGCGACGAGTCAACCAAGTGGCAGCGCAGAGGCGTTTGCGTTGACAACTGCCGCACCACTCGGGCCCCACGCACCCGCGAGCGCAGCTCGGCCCTGAGCCAGCGCTCGCACGCCTTGCGCACGCCTCGCTCTGCGCGCAGCCGCCGCCGCAGCTCCCCCACCTCAAGCTCCTGCAGCAACATGGGCCCTGATATGTCAGGGACCGGGCCCGACGCCACAAAGAGCGGAGCGTGCGCTTCTGGACAAGCATCGTCAGCCACTGTGACGGCACAGCTGCGAGAGCGGGCCGTGCTGCTCAATTGATCGGGCGCCTGGCTGGTGGTGCTTTGTTTGGCAGTGTTCCTGCTGCCCCACCTTGGCCTCCTTGAGAAAAGCCATCTGAGCGCGCGCCTCGTCCAGCGCGACCTCGAGATCTCTCCGAGCCTCGGACTCTGCATGGCACTGCAGGTCGCAGGCAACCCAGCGCTTTGATTCACAAAGCCTGCTTTGACAAGCCAGCGTCATGCGACGCACACACGCAGCGGCACAGCCCCGGCGGGTTTGCTGCAACAGCGGGTGCTGAACGCTGCCGGCGCACCTGGCCCGCCGTGCTGGCCGCTTGCGCGCGCGCCGCCCTGCCTTCCGCGTCGGCCGCGTCCAGCTCCCGCTTCAGCTCCTGCACCTCGAGCTGGACCAGCTCCTAAGGCAGATGTCGGGGGCAATGAGGGGTTGAAAGTTGGCTTCCGGCGCAGTTTAAAGCGCAGCACACGGTGCGAGTGCTGAAATTGACCCGCAGTGCTCCTCACGGGGTGGGAGGTAAAGAGGCACACACCTGCCCAAGAGGGGCTGACTCCTCAGCGTCGCGTGCGCAGACGACTTGGCACCTCCGCGACCCACCTTGTCACGTCGCTCTCGCTGAGCCGCCGACTGCGCCTGCGCCAACTCGCGCCCCTGTGCTTGCAGGCTCGCGCCCAGCGCCTGTGCCTGCGCCGCCGCTTCGGACTCCAACCGGCTTGCTGCTGCGTCGCTGTCACTCAGGCGTCTCTCCAGCTCGTCCCTTTCTGCACGCAGCGCCAGAACTTCAGCGCGCAGCTTACCCACCTGTCAAAGATGTTTCCAGCGCAGCGCTTGGCGCACACAGCGGGCATCGCAAGCTGTCACCTATTAGCGCAAACGCCATGCTGCTGCTATACCATGTGTTTTTACAAGTCACCTGCTACGCAGATTATTTGCTGCGCATTTACGGCAGGCTGCAGCGCCCAGCCAGGCTTCTCACCTCAGACTCGCTGCGGCACGCGCTGCTCTCCGCTGCGGCCAGCTTCTGCTCATAGCCCTGGCGCAGCGCCACTGCCTGATCGCGCATCGACTCAATGGTGTGCTCTTTGGCAGCCACGAGTCGCTGCAGCTCGTACACCTGCGGTGGCGGCCCCATAATGGCTGGGGCTGAGTGATGAGGGCTTGCGACTCTTTGCCAGGTGCGCGCCAGCTGGTTGAACGAGGGTGACATGCGAGCATCTGCAACGTTGACATTGCGAGAAAAGGGATTTCGGGCAAAAAAAACACCTGAACTATCTAAAACCTGCGTTGCACAGCTTGCCATGCATCAACGGCATGCACTCGCTGTCGAGCTCACCTCCTGCTCCTTGCGCCGCAACATGCTGCGCTGCACCTCATGCGTCCGGCTGGCCGCAGCGTCGACCTCCTCCTCCGCCGCCTCGATTGCGCGTCCGAGCCGATCTGCAGTCCTTGGACGCAGCTATGCGGCGACACACGCACGGCGACGCGGGTCGGGCAGCTCAGGTGCATTGGCTGCAAGCACCAGCGATGTCACTGACGGGCATGGTTTTGCATCAATACGCAGGTGTTGTGCAGGGCGGCGACAGCCCAGCCGCACCTCTGCACTGCCAGAGGTACGCCCGTATGTACCAATCCGCTCGTCACCGTCACCAAGCAACGGAGCGTGAATCGGGGAGCCCTCCGTGAACACAATGGGCTTTGCAAGGATGGCCCGCAGGGCGTCCAGCTCCTGCAGGACACCCTTCGCCGTAGTCATTTTCAACAGATAACGCGTAAGAAATGACGTACAAGCACACCGCAAGGTGAAGGCTAGGTAGATCAGGTTTGAATCCCAAGTTGACTGCAATCACTTGCGCGCGCTGCAGGGACCTGAACAACGCCCGCCTGTGACATAGACCGCGCAGCGCCGCACCAGGCATTTAGCCCCAGGGCAGCCAAGCCACTGCGATGACTGCGATGACATGCACAGCAGCTGGCTTGCTGCTGCCGATGCGCTCTGGCTCATCCGCCGCGCTGAAATTGTTCCTGCCACGCTGGCGCTCATGAGCCGCTCTGCTGTAGGTCAGCGGCACCGGCAGGCTGGTTCGACTGAGCAGACTGTGTCCAAGTTCCGACAGCTTTGTTGTCAAGCCACTTGTACCTCGTGTTTACCGCCGTCATTACACAAACACTGACAGTAACACTCACATTGGATATGCTTGTGCCTGAGTGCTCACGTCCTACATTTACGTGTGGTCTGCATAGCCAACAAACGCAAGCTTGTTCACGCCATTGCCTGATCACCTGCCTGCCTGTGACCACGTGTGTGGCAGGGTGCCTGTGAGGCGAACTGCAGGCGCTTGTCGTGATTACCGTTGCATGGAAGCAACAGCAACATTATCAGAAAAAATGACAATGACACTTGGCAGCCTGGTGTGGTTGGCAGGCGGGGAGGGGGTGTTCCTACATCACCTCGTTTCAACTTGTTGCGTGTGCCCCAGGGTGTTCCTACATCACCTCGCTTCAACTTGTTGCGTGTGCCCCAAACACAACAGCTTTGCAAGACTGCAATTCCCATCCTCTGTTCGAAAACAGGGCCCTGAACAGAATGCCCTGGAGGACAAACCACCATGACATTGGGCAATGGAGCCCCTCAGGTACGGTACCACATGGTCAGCACATGGGAAGCAGCTGGAGGTGGAGCTTCCGCCTTGCTTGCACAAAAACGTCCCAACCCCCAGCGCCAGTACATGGCCTGCTTGAATTGGAGGCCTCGCACCGCAAGGTTGTTTCCTTTTTGTTCTCTTGGCCCAGGCGCCACCAGCACTGCACCAGATCTCGACAGGCTCCAGGTGTCCAGGAACGCCAGGCTCTAGTCGCGCACGGCTCCTGGCGTGTGAGAGGAAGACTCGTGACTGAGGGCCTATCTTTGCACCAGTTGGGAGTGGTCGCGGCAGGGGCTTCCCTGCACTGAAGGTGAGCGTTGGGCGTTTGCATAGGCTTGATTTGGAGTCGATGAATTGACACATAAGTGCTGGTCTGCAACGTCGCGTAGGCCAGCCGTACAGCGGCATGCACCCGTCTCGGCGCGTGCTGCAGTGCCTGTGCTGGCGAAGCTCCTCCGCCCACCCACCACCTAAATCAGGCTGCCTCGCACCCCTCCCCGTTGAGCCCACAGCGACCAGCGCCGGCACCAGTGGTAGCGCTTGCAGCGGCGGCAGCAGCAGCGCCGAGCCACCCGGGCAGCAGCGGCCATGGCGTGGCAGACGCTGCCCGGCATCATCGCCATGGTCGGCTGCCTGACGGTGGGCGGCCTGATCCGCGGGTTTGCAGCTGACGTGTACTACGGGAAGCCCAAGCCGCACAACCTGGACTTCTTTACGCGCCTGTTGCTGCACCGGGATCTTGAAATCCTGGAGGAGCGCAAAGCAGCCAAGCAGCAGTAGGATGTGCAGCCTCACGGCGCAGCGGCGCGCTAGCTCGGCCGGCGGCGGGCGCGCGAGCGCGTTTGAGGCCATGCGGTCGTGCCCCTGCAGCGGCGGGGCTGCTAGGTGCAGCCCGCCACCGGGACAGCGTTGCGGGGGGCAGTGCGGGGCTGCCTGTCGCTGATTGGAGCGAGCAGGCTTGCAGCCCTAGACCACTTTTGGCGTGGCGTATGTTGTTTGCACTTGGGCACTGCTGTAACAAGAAAGGATGAACACCGAAATCATGCTGGCAGCGGTTTGTGACGCACGCGCACGCCTCGGCCAGGTTGTCATCCGTGCCTCGTCAGTGTCCCTGAAGAACCTCACCGATAACAGCGAGCTTGCTCAGGCGCGTGTTGCAGTGATTGTCAGTGCTCAGCATGCAAACATTCTTGAACATTTTTGAAGAGCAGCCCTTTGCAGCCAGGGCGATTGCCCTGCTTATGAGCACAACATTTAGGTGTGCTGGGGTCGGTAGTTCGTGTTACACCGGGCACGCTGGTGCCCATGACATGCCAGACGACAATTCCTGCACAGGGTGCGGCCAACAAGTGTTGCTTAGTAGGTGGGGTTGGCAGCCTGCATGCGGGGGCTTTGCGCACATCCTTGGCTGCTGGACGAGGGGCTGCTGCATACGAGAGCACCAAAGCGCCAAGCGCTAGCACGAGCGAACCTCACCGAGAGGCCTTCAAAAGGACTTGAGCACACCTGCTGCTCCACCCTGCCCCTGCACCTATGAGGTAAAAAAAGAGAAACTGGGTACTGTAGAAGCAACTGGCCACGTTGAGCATACAAGTGCGGTGACACGGGGCTTCCAAGCAGGCCCCTCATCAGTTTGTTTCATAATTCTGATCTTTAACCCGCCCCTCTCACCGGAAGAAGTCATGACAGGTGGTAGTTGAGTAAAGCACCTCGATTGTACTGCTATTTGCCGCCACCCACACACCACTGTTGCCGCCCCAGAGGCCGCCCCTGCCGCCGCGCAACACACGGAAATCGCTCAGCAGCGGTGCTGGCACAGCTGCAGCTGCACCGTCCGCAGGCAGCCTGAACACGGGTCATGCAACGGCAGGAGTAGGTCAGTGGATGAGTTAATGGAGCTTTGCCCTGCAGTCCCTCACGTACTTATCAGCACGCCATGAAAGTTTTGGCAGCAGCGGTGACTTCTTACAACACAAGCTTCTGAGTGCAAACGCATCACACAAAGGCAATAGTCGGTAGGTGGATCGTCACTGCCATGTGGGACTGGGACCCACATGGATGTGAAATCAAACGCCGTGTAGCAAGCCCCGGGGTAACAGCCAGAGAGCTGTACACGGCAGTCCAACTCTGCAGAGTTGTCGCGACGCAAGTCGGGGTGCTGCGTGGCAGGGACCATCGGGACGGAGTGCTGGGAGCGTGCAAACAGTGCTTAGTTACATGCAAGACGAGCATGAATCTGTGCCTGTCCGAGTGTATCACCAACCTCCAAATGTCATGAGCAAGCCACCCCGCGCGGCTGGCGTCCTGCTGCCATACACGCTCCGCAGCCTGCACCTGTCCGGCTCCGCTGCAAGGGAGCACGGCGCAACGGCAAACCTGCACTGGCACGAACGCTGAGCGTCACTGCAGGGAAGGGCAGAACTTTGCATTGTGTGGAATCTAGGTCCCTCGCCTGTTGGGGAATGCGCTCGTCATAGCCAGCACAGGCGCCGTGCACGCTATGAGCGCTGCAAGGCGGCAAGCGTTGACCGCGGCGCTAGACCGCCGTATAAGCGCACGCCTAGTTGCTCGGGCTGCATACATCGGACGCGTAGGGACAAAAATCGTGTTTATGTGCATGCACCGCTCCTAAATACTGTACTGGCAGCTTGAGCAGTGCTCGAGGAGATGATCTCAGTGCGCGTGCACGCGAGCGCAGGGGATACCTTTCATTCAAGAAAATCGTTCACGCGCGTTCGGGATTTGTTTTCCAAATGCAGTTGATCTGGGCCCTGAAGTGACGCACCGCACCACGGTCGCCCTCGTGTCCAACACAGCTTATAAGCTAACCCACGTACAGATAAAAGATGTTGAGAGGAAGCTCTGTGCTGCTGCACACTCTGGGCATCAGCCTGCAAGGGGCGCCACTGGCGGCCGCGGGGACAGCGCTTGGCCTCGCTGCCGCCCGACGAGCTGCTGCCGACATGGTGCCGCACCCCACAGCTGCCAAAGAGGAGGAGGAAGAGGAGCAACGGAGAGGGGAGAAACAGCAGGCGCATCAGCAGGGACAAACAGAGGACTCTGAATGGATGGAGGTCGTTGACCAGCGGACAGGTGCGGTCGCTCGTCACTAGTTGGTGGCGGCGGCGCAAGTGGTGTCCGCCATGGCGGGGTGGCGGGACGTTCTTTGCAACAGGAGCGGCGACAACGCACAGGGACCTGACGCTCACATACAGCAGCGGTTTCTCGCACCCGGGTGTGGGGCTAAAATTCCCCGCGCCCCTGAGCGGCATGACGATGACCTCAAAGCCGCAGCGCTCGCCCCTTTGTCACTGCCGCCCACCACTCGCCATCCCTTTGCCGCCCGCGCGCCTCACATATGCGTGTGCGACGATCAGGCCGCACTTACTACTGGAATGAGAGCACGGGCGAGACCACGGAAATTGGGGAGCCGCGCCCCAAGTCGCGCTTCCGCAACCAGTCGTTCCGCGGCGCCGACGACGCGCGCTTCCAGGACGGCTGGCGCGAGCCGCCGGGCGAGGACCGCACTTATGTATACTCACTGATGGGCATCGGCATAGGCATCGGCGCGAGCTGGGCTACGCGCTTCCTGCACTGACGCGCTGACCGGCGCGGGCTGCTGTGCGACGGAGCCGCCTCAAGCGCGGACGCGGGGCTTGGCAATGTAACCTTACGTGCCCAGTGCGTTGCAGAAAGTGACTAAACAGCCTGCAAACATATAATGGCCGAGTGGTGTGAGAGCGAGGGGCATCTGGACTGCATGCTGCGCGCGGTGGGTGCTGGTGCTGCTGCTGCTGCTGCTGCTGCTGCTGCTGCTGCTGCTGCTGCTGCTGCTGCTGCTGCTGCTGCTGCTGGGCTGCGTGCACCCTTGCTTGTGAAGCTGTCCATGCTGCAGGTGGTCCACTGCTCTTGCACTTGCGACAGCGCACACGCGGTTCGCGACAGGCATAACACCAGGGGTCGCAGCTTGGCGCGCCAAGAAGTGTGTCTTCTTAAAGCAAAGCTGCGGCGCCGCCACCACTGCCGCGCGGGCCACCGCCGCCGTTGGCACGCCGCGCGTCCAAAATCAGCGCGTACCCACCGGCCCCAGCCGCGGCCGCCGCGCCCCCCGCCCACTGGTCCCCCTGCTGCAGCCCTGGCGGACCCGCTGCCGAGGGGTCGCTCGGCCTCGTGGGGCGCGGCCGCTTGCTGCCGCGCCGCCCGCGCAGCCGCCGCGTCAGTCGCAGCCCCGCCGCCGAGTACAGCTCACTGCGCCAGCCGTCCATGTTGCCGATGCGGAAGCTGCCCAGCGCGACCAGCACCTGCCGCAGCAGCGGCTTGGTGAGCTCGTGCTTGTGGCGCAGCACAGAGGCGCAGTAGCGGCGCGCCCAGCTCTTCGGCGGACGCAGGTTGAGCTTAGCAAGCGCGTACCCCGTCATAGCCAGGTCCAGCGTCGAAAAATAGCTGCCCTCTCTGCTGCCGCTGCTGCTGCCGCTGCCGCCGCCGCCAGCGGCGGGGCCGCCTGCGCCGGCGCCCGCGCCGGCCCTGGACGCAGGGGCGTCCAGGAGCGCCTCTGAGGTGTCGAAGAACTCGTCCAGCCAGGGGTCGCCCGGGTACAGCCGCAGCGCCGCCAGCGCCCACAGCGTGACGGCGAGCTCCTGGGTGCGGTAGCTGGGCAGCAGCTTGAAGGAAGCCGCGAAGAAGCCGGCCAGCCAGGTGCGCGGCGGCACGTAGCGCAGCCGCGCGAGCACCCAGGCGCATGTGGTCAGGGCCTGTGGCCCGAGCTGGCCGAAGCGGGAGGCGATCTCTTCAAGGACGGCGTCCAGGAAGCCGGGCGACCCACCGCGCGACCGCGCCGTCCCGAGCGCGTGCAGGAGCATGGCGAGCTGCGGCTGGCGGAGGGAGGGCAGCTCCTCCTGCGCCGCGTCGCACAGCGCGGCGTGCCAGCGCGGCGGGGGGGCTGCCTGCGGGGCAGGATGTGGCGGGGCGAAGGGGACGGCAGGTCAGCGTGCCTACAAGAGGGACTCCGCGGGACTCCGCGGTCTATTTATGTACCCCTCAGATAGACAGGAAACACACGACCGAAGCGGCCTCCGTAGGCTCGCGCCCTAGAGGTTCAAGTCGCAGCGGCTGGCCGCAAACTGCGCTCGAACCCCTGCGGCCAGCCCCGGCCGCCCGAGCCCCGGGTGCGCGCCTGCAACCGCGCCAGCGCGTAGAGCACGAGCGGCACCTCCTCGCGCCTCAGGTGCGGCAGCAGCGGCTCGGCCGCCGAGAACAGCGCCGACTGGAACGCGGGCCTTGGCCGCGCGCGGAGCTGCGACAGCGACCACAGCAGGTTGCAGAGGTCCGTCGGCCGCAGGGCCCCCAAGGTGGGGGTGGCGTAGAACAGGATGTCATCCACCAGGGTCGGCTCGACGTCCAGCTGCGGGCGGTGGGCGGAGCGACAGGGCGGCGGGCGCAACGGCAGGGTGTTGGGCGCGAGGGGGGGCCGTGCCAGCGCGCCGCCACGAGCACCTGGTGGATGATGGTGGTGCTGGGAGCAACCTCGTGCGACGCGGCCCCGCTGCAGATGTGGCACCAGCAGCAGCAGCATGGTTGATCAACCAGAGTGTTGCAGCAACGAACAACCCCTTTGCGCCGCGCACGCCCCAGTGCGCACGCGCTGCTGGCTGCCGCGCACCTTCCCCGCCTTGGAGAGCTGCGCCATCCCCCGTAGCATCGCCGCCGCCGTCCCCGCGTCCGCCGATGGCAGCACCCCGCGCGCCTCCAGCAGCAGCGCGGCCGTGAACCGCCGCAGCGCCGTGCGCTCGCTGCGCAGCGTGTGCGCGTGCGTGGTGGCGCGCAGCTCCGCGAGGCGGCAGAGCATCGCCGCCAGCTGCATTGGGTTGAGGCGCCCCTGCCACCGCTCAAAAACGCGCCGCACGACAAACCAGTCCGGCGCCGCGCAGATCGCGCGCATGACGCTGCACTCAAAACCCGAGTCGCGGAAACTGAAGAGCGGCGCGGGGACCGACAGCGGCGGGCTCTGGCCTGGGCCGCTGTCGCCGCCCTCGGCTCTTGGAACCGAGCTGCTGGCGCTGCTACTGCTGCTGGTGCTAGCTTGCGCGCCTGTCTGCGCCCGCTCCACCAAAACCTCGAACTCCTCAACCTCATCCTGCTGCTGCTGCTGCTGGTGCTGTTGTCGTAGTTGCTGCGCCTGTCGCGTCTGCTGCTGCTGGGAATGTTGCGACACAACGTGCTGCTGCTGCTGCTGTGCCGCTGCCATGGGCAAAAAGGCCTGACCCACGCTGTCGCCGCCGCCTGCAGGCCTCAGCGGCGCCACCCAACCATCCGCCGGCCACCTCGCCTCCAGCTGCTGCCGCTGTCCGTTCCACCTGCCCCGCCCGCCAGGCGGCAGCAGCCCCGGCACCCCTGCGGACGCCTGTCGAGAGTGCCAGGGCCCGCGCCGCTGCCGCCGACGGCCGATGGCAGCCGCGTAGATGGCAGCAGCGCTCGGCTCGGCCGACGGGGCCCGGGAGCCCGACTGGCTGGTGCCATTGTCGAGATCGATAGACCCTAGACTCATCATGGAAGCGCCGGCGGACCCCTGCGCAATGCTGCTGTTGCTGCTGTTCCTGCTGCCGCTGCTGATTTCGCCGCTGCCGGCTTGAGAAGCGAATGCGCCGCGGCTGCTCGCGCCTGTCGTGGCGAGCGCGGCGTTCGCGGCGAGAAGGCCCTCGCCCGCCTCTGGGTCAGCAACAACCACCGTCGCTGGCCAGCCTACCGCAGCGCCAGCCGCTTCAGAGCCCGCTGCTGCTGCGCCGCTCTGGCCTGCCTCCCCAGCAGCGGCGGCGAGACCTCGCCGCTAGAAGGACAGGGGATGGGTAGCGTGGGGCCACGAGGCCTCAGTGTGCACAGGACTATGAGACTTGTGTGGGGGGCTGAACATGCAGGTCGACATGTTTCAAGGCGATGGCCAAGAGCGCTGTCGACATTGCAGAGCACTGCATCGTCTGGCGCAAGCTGTGGGGTGCGCCACATGCAGAACGCAGCGGCACACCTGTGGTCGCGCAGCGCTACTCGCCCGCGTTGCAGAATGCGACCTGCCCTCAAGAGCCTGGCGGAGTGCAATAATAAGATGCTTTCAGCATGAATCCCTATGCGTTAACATACTTTAAGCGCGAGTGGCTGGGCCTCACCTGCGATGGGGCCAGCCTCCTCGGGGTGAAAAATCCACCAGCGCATGTCTGTTTACAAGGGAAACGCATTTCTACTATTTCCTCCGTCTGCGACTGCTGCTTCTAAAGAAGCATGGCCGAGAGTTTGGCTGTGCCGTGAAGCGGTGCGCTCCCGACAATGTATCGACGTCAAGTAATTGAACAATAATTTAAACGTGTTTTCAGATCTGCTGTGTTTCCGTAGATCTGCGCTCGCTTGCATCGCCAGTGGCGAAGTCAGGTCGACAGTGGTGTGTTGCTCTTTAAACGCGTCGCAAAGCACTAGAGCATGACATTTACCCAAGCACCGCATGAAAAGATGATGCTTCAGGCTCAGAAGCAGGTGACGGTTGCATAAATTGTGTGGTTCCCTGGCCCAGGGCAGCGCTCCTGGTATCTGCAGCGCAGAGGCCAATGCGCGGTCGCCGTGGCCTCATAGTACACTTTTGTTCCCGCAGGTTGCCCTCGGCTCGCGGCAGGCGGCCCGCCGCAATGCGGCGGTCGCGCCCCTGCGCGCGCCCCGCAGCAGCGGCGTGTGCCGCGCCGAGCCGACCCCTGACAGCGTCCAGGAGGTGAGTATCCTTCGGGGATCAGTCGGTATTCGTGTGCACACCTGCGGCAGTGCCTCCTGCCGCCAGGCGCGGGCGCACCAGTTTGGTGGACCGCCTGCTTGACAGGCGCTGTCACCTGACGCACTCTCAAAATCCCACCACCCGCACTCATAATCCGATCACTCGGCCACTGCGCAGGGGAGCGGCTACGTGGCGTACGACTCTGCTGGCCAGAGCAACATGGTGAGTGCGCGGCGGAGGGGTCCGGGCCGTCTGGCGCGCGAGTGCCACATGGCGCGTTCGGGTGTCCGCGTCTGTGTCTGCGGCACGGCCCACTGCAGCTGTGCGCCCAGGTGCCGGCTCTGCCCCGCTGCGCCCCCTGACCACGCTCGTATGTCAGCCCCAAACGGATGTCCTCACACTATCCAAAAACAGTACCCCGTGATGACCAAGGCGTACGCCGACAATGGCCCCAACGCCACCACGGAGGCGAACACCGGGTTCGCGCTCTTTGCGGGCGCCGTGGCCGTCGGCGCCATCGCCGTCGCCGTCGGCCTGCTGTCTATCAAGTCAGGTGCGCAGGCCTGCCCGGCACGGCGCGGGCAGAGGTGGAATGCGGGCAGCCCGCCAGGAGATGAGGGTGGAAGACTGGGGCAACTTTGTTGCTCATGGGACTGACTGGGTGCAGCTACGCGGCGGCCCAGCTGTCGCTCAGGCAGCCACTCCCCTAAGGCATCCGTGCGCGCACGCTCCTGGTGGCTGCCAGCCTGCACCTACGCACCTGTCCACGCTTTCTGACACCCTGGGCCTTTCCCCCCAACCCCTCTGCTGTCCGAGCAGGCGGCGCCGACACCACTGCTGACCAGTTCAAGGCCCTCTCAGAGTACGCGTCCATTTTCGCCGCTCAGATCTGAGTGGTGCCAGGCGTGGAGACGACATGATGGCGTGATCTGACGTGATCTGACTTCAGCAGCCACGGCAGCAGGGCGATGCCGGCGCAAGCATGCTGGCCGTGCCCCCTGCTTACCAACGTTTTGCTCACATGAAGACGTGGGAACCGAAATGAGACTCGGGCGCTCCTCCAGAGGGGAGTGGCTCGGGAGTGTGTGTGTCGCATCATGAGTGGGCCGAGAGGGTGGGCGTGCCCCAGGCGCAAGGCAGTGGCTGAATAAGTCATCCGCTGGCGCCAAAGACCAACCGGCGTCTAAGTCGCCGCAGTCTTTCCTTGTTCTTGCCTGAGAGAGAGAGCCGCAGACTCATATGCCATGTCTGCCTGCAACATCCCAGTTTTCAGAGTGCGGCTGTAATCCGCTGCAGTGGCTGAAGTGTCTTGTCTCATTGCTTTACAAGGCGCATCACAGCTCGTCTCCCTTGTCTAAATCATTTGTGTCAGGCATACCTGCCCATGAAAAATGGGCATGGGGGATAATGCGACCCAGACAACTAAAGAGCAGCAACCCAGCGCAGCCAAATTTGCAGGTGCCAAAGGCGCAGGTGCCTGCGGCTTGGGTGCCGGCAACGGTTGAAAGCTGAAAGCCAACGCAGTGTTTCGGCGCAAGGCGGGGTATTCGCGACCCAGCCCAGGCCTCATGCAGCCTTTCAAGTAGCAGGATGAGCGATTCCAGCAGCAACAAGGTCGCGGACAAAACCATGGGAACCTCAACCTTTGGCAAAACTTAGTACGATACAACCCCAAGTCACAGCTCATCCCGGCCAGGAGGTACCGCCTCCGCTGCCGCGCTCTCAACACGATCCCCCTTGACGCCACCCTGTGCATCGCCCGGGCCGGCGCCGCCGCCGCCCTGGCTGCCGCTGCGGGCTCGCTGCGCCTCGGCCTCCGAGAGTCGCGCCTCGTACGCTTGTATCCACCGAGCGAGCCGCCGCCGCAGCGGCCCAAGGTGCTCAGCATACGCCTCCCACCGCCTGACGGCCGATGTATAGAGCGGCTTGCGCACCTGCGCGTGAGGCATGCGCCCTCCCTTCAAACTAGCGCCCAGGCATGAAACAGCCGCACTGCTCGGCGCACAGTGCAGGTCGCCCGCAGATCCGGGCTCGCCCAAGCTTTGGTCATCAAATTGCCCCATTGCGTCTGCACGCGCACATGCGCGCGTGTACGCAAGCCGCACCTGCGCCTGGCTGGCGGTGTGCACCGCGTTGTTCTTCGCCACGTCGTGGAAGCGCAGCACCTGCGGCTCGAAGGCCATGCCGCAGGCGGCCAGGACCTCGCGGATTACAGCCTCGGGGTGCGCGACGAGGTCCTCATACAGCACCGTGGTGACGCGGCCGGGCGCGGCGGCCTCCCAGTGGGACGCCAGCGTCCACGTCATGTCCAGCTGGTGATGACGCGCGGGCATGGGTGGGTGGCCGTGCAGTTCGGTCGAGGGTGAGCGCAAGCAGGAGCGTGAGCGGGGCGATGTGCGCGCGTGCTCTCCACAGGCAGCTGGGAAGGTTGTAAATGCGCCTCACAAGGGGTTGCGCTCGCGGGGCGACAGCCGGCGGCCGGCGTCCGCTTGTGTGCCATGCAGTTTCAGGCCGGTCCGCCGAGCGTTGCTTAGCCGAGCTAGGCATACCTGTTCGGCCTGCGCAATGCGCCCGCCTGTCGACCCATAACATTGACATGGCAACTGCACACATGATGCTGACGACCCTGTACTTGCAGCCAACCGTTGAAGCCTCCCCGCCTCCCCTCCCTCCCCCTCAGCTCCAAACCCCCCTCACCTGCTCTGCGATGTCGTCCAGGTCCCAGGCCCAGGGCATGGACGAGTAGCTGAAGGGCTGCGCGTAGCAGCTCATGGCCACGTCCAGGGGGTGGCGCGCCGCATGGATGATGCAGGCATTGGGCAGCATGAGCAGGATGTGGCCGACGCGCCACAGGTTCATCTGGGGGTGAGGGAAGCGGCGCGCAACAGGGTGATTGCCAACAGGCAGCCGCAGAGCCAGCCAGCCGCGCATGGCGTTTTGCCAGCGCGACCCGCAAGCGACCTCACACGCAGATCCCCTTCACACACGCCGCCAGGACACGGGAGGCCGTCGCACCTGTGCGCGACCATGCTCACAGTGATCGCAGCAGCCAGGACGATCCACGGCCCCTTGTGTGCAGCACCCCTGTCAAGCCGCCCCACCCCCTGGCTCTGGCATTCCATTATCCGCAGAGCTCACCAGCATCTTATCAATCACGTACTTCGGCTTCGGCCCGCCCGCCGCCACCCCCGGCGCGCGCGCGCGCATGCGCTTCAGGTAGCGCCGCCCGTAGCGCTCCAGCACGGCCGCGTGGTCGGAGGAGGGGTCGGCCAGCAGCACCTGCATCTCGGTGGCCAGCGGGGCCAGCAGGGTGTCCTCGCCGGCCGCGTACGCCTGCGCGCAGGGGCGGGGCGTCGCGAGGGGGCAGTGCAATGGAGGGGCCTGGGCGGAGGCCTCGATCGGGGTGTCCCGGCAGGAAGCATGCCAGCGGGAGGCCTTGCGTCCAAGTTTGAAGCCTAGACAAGGCTGCTTGATGGCAGCCAGGCCGCAAAGCTGCCAGGTGGCGCTGGAAGCATGCAGCTGCCGGCGGTCGCGGCGCGGACCCCAGACGCGCCGCGTGCCTCGCGCCTGAGAGTGGCTGCCCAGCATCTGCTCCACCAGGGTGCTGCCAGACCTCGGCGCCCCGACGACAAAGATGGCGCCGCTGCTGGCCTGGTAGCCGTACTTTCGGTCGAAGGGGCCCGGGAACACCTCCATGACCTGGCAATTGCGGGTCGCCGATGGGATCAGGTGCGCCTCACACCGCAAACAACAGCTGAGCTCAAGAGCACACGGTGCGTTCCAACAAGCATCCGACAGGCTCGGATCCGGTGCCCAGCACCTGGGCTCCTGGGCGCTGGAAGAGCGGCTGCCGAAGCCAGGGTGACGGGCAGGCTCACCCCCTGGCACCCTCGCGCCCCACCTGTTCGGTGGCCTCCCTCTCGCCGGCCGCGTCGTACGACCCCGTCGACGCCATCAGGCGGTTGCCGGCCTCCAAATAGGCCCACGCCAAGCCCGGCCGCCGCGCGCGGTGGGCGCGCTTGTACAGCGCAAAGTGCAGCCAAGACAGGTCCTGGGCCGCGCCGTCCGATATCCAGGCGTCCCCACCCTCGCCGCCCTCGTCGCCCCTGGACGTGCTCCCCCCGCCGCCGCCGCCGCCGCCGCCGCCGCCGCCGCCGCCGCCGCCGCTGCTTCTGTTGGTGTCGGCGGCGAGGTCGGCCGCGATCGCCTCCGCCTCTGCTGCCGACGGCCAACCAGCCTCCAGGTCCAGCAAGAACCCCAGGCCGGCATTCGCCGACAGCAGCTCGCGCCCTCGCCGCGCCACCTGTCGCGCGTGCGAGGACGAGCCAGGTCGTTGGCGAGGGGTTTTGCAACGGCTTGCGGCATCATCGCCAGCCTTCAGCCTGTCCTATGCTCATGTTCCACCCGGCCTCAAAATCAATGCCGCGTACCGATGACAACTCAATTCCTGCAAACAACCGCAAGGTCGCTGCCGGCGCCGCGCCCTGACCTTCGCAGCCGCGGCGGCGTCGGCCGCGGGCAGCGCTTCGAGCGCCGCGAGGGCCTTGCCGTACGTCGCCAGGTCGCGCCCGGCTGCCGCCCTCGCGGCCCCGAGGTATGCTGCGTCGGCGTCGTCGAGGCGGCCGGCCGCCGCCAGCGCCTTGCCCCTGTTGAACGCCAGCGCGCACGTCCCGCTCTCGGGCCTGCCCAGCCGCGCCGCCGCGGCCAGCGCCTCGTCCAGCTCTGCGATGGCGTCGGCCACGCGGCCGCCGTTGAGCAGGAGGGCCCCGAGGTTGCCTCGGATCGTGATCAGCGCGTCGGCCGAGGCGGAGGCGGCGGCGAGGTCGAGGGCGGCGCGGTAGGCGGCCTCGGCCTCGGGGATGCGGCTGCCGCCGTCGGGGGAGAGCTCGTTGAGGTGATGGAGCACCTGCAGTGGCGGCGGGTTTCGCACGCTTCGGCTGAGCTGAGAACGCGCCGGAACGCTCCCTCGCAGGACCAGGCTGCTTGCCGGTCGGCCAGCGGCCCGTCGCACCCTCTTCCAGGCGCTACAGCCATGCCCGTCGCTGCAAGCGTGCAGTACGCAATGCAACTTTGGTGCAGGTGGCACGCGCACCGGAGCAAATAGGAAGGGCACCAGCTGTCAGGTCAGCATCAGCAGACCGGTGCCAGCATGTCTATCCATGTTTGCCCGCCCCTGTCCGCCCGCCCCACTCAAACAGTCGGGACTGTCCATGCGCTGCATGCCCAGGGCAGCCTCACCATTGCAAGCTTCAGGTGTGCATCGGGAGACTTGGGAAACTGCTGTGTGAGCTTGCGCGCCCGCGCCACATGCTCGTCAAATTGCGCCCGCTCCGCCGACCGCACCACTGCCGCAACTCCGCATAGGCAGGCCAGGAGCATCACAGCCAGTCTCATCAGCGTGCATCCTGAAGCCCGCATTCTTGCCAGGCCCAAAGCCTGCACAGGGCGATCTGCTGATCACCGACACAACATTGTCAACATGATGTCTCAACGCGTCACACAATAACATAAAATTCTCAAATTAGCTGGCGTTTATCGGGCCACAAATCGTGGCCCGTCCTTGTAGGCCCCGTCCACCCACATTCTAAATGATGACTGAAACATTTCCGCCACGCGTCTGAAGCGACTTGATCAAGACGTTCAGGAGTTGTAGAATATAGTGTGTTTGAACGCGAATTGTGTGAAGATTTTTACTCACTTCGTGTGGGCATTTAAGCCCCCCGCGGTCTCAGACACACCTCAGAGCAAGGGTAACAAAACGTAGTGTCCCTGCACAGTTTTCAGAAGTTGTCTGGTGGTGACAACATCCCCGACGCACCGTGCGCCGTGGCGCTTTCGTCAACAGCGGCACTGTTGCTGAGTTGCTCCTCATCCTTTCATTGCCCCAGCCACAGTGCCAGCCTCAGCCCTGAGGGATTGGGCCGGGCCAGACGCATGTCGCCGTTGGCCAATCAAGCCGAGCTTGCGGCTCGCCAGGACGGCGTCAGTGATGCCGGGGCCGTCCAGCAACCGGAGCAGCAGCACCGCGCAGCAGCTGCCTCTGCTGGCGCAGCTGGCGTTTGCGAAGAAGGTGCAGCATCGGCTTCGCATGCGACACCATCACTGCCAGAGGCAGCGGCAGTGCTGCGGCCACGACTTTTAACAATGACATCAACAGCAGCAACGGCGGCAGGAGCAGGCGGTGGCAGCGAACGCTCTGGAGGCATGGCTGGCGAGGCTCAGCCAGTCGAGCCAGCCTGCCTGATATGCATGGCAGCAGAGGCCTCCGACCCGACCTCTGTGAAAGGGTGCAACCACAGCTTCTGGTGCGACCACTCTTGCGTGGCACACGCGCCCGTTCTCGCTGGGGCGCATGATTCAGGAGCCTTTGGCAGCAAGCGCCCTTGGCAGCCGTAGTCCTTCCAGGTGTTCCTGTCAGGTCAGGCCAAGGCTCGCAACAATGCAATATGGACGTGCTTAAAGCCAGTTGCTTTGCAGCACAAGTGCATCTACATTCCATGGCAGCACTTTCCTCACCCCCACCGCTTGAAGCCGATGCACTGCGCTGCCGCGCTCCCCCCTCGGCCCCTTCCCCTATTCCCATGTTGTGTCGCACTCACCTGACACGCAGCTACGTCTGCATTCACCAGTGGGGCGCTACGCGGCAGGCGCCCTCATGTCCGGTCTGCCGTGGAGGCATGCAAGCTCTGGTACTGGGCAGCGGCGAGGAGCAGGTGGGCACTCCTTGACCTGCCGATGACAGCTGATTAGGTCTCTGTCCTGTTCGCTTCAACTGCCCTTCAAAAAGCAGCAAAGGCTATTTTGCTTCTGCAAGTGTCACACGCATGGCGCAGGCCTTGCCAAACTTGCCATTTTCCCAAACTTCTACGCTTCTCTGCAATCCTGCACACATGGTCAACACAACAACAGGCGGTGGTACCCGCATCCGCCGTGGCGGCTGGTGACGAGGGCCCAGACCTGTCGTGCCTGGACCACGCGTACTTTTTGGCGGAGGTGTCGCGGCTCGTCTCGCGCGCCGAGGCGGTCCGGGCGCGGCTGTTTCGCGACACGATGAACTGCGGCCGCGGAGGCAGTGCGCGGGACGAGCAGGCGCTGGCGGGCCTGGGGGAGGTGCTGATGCGGCTGGAGAGCTACAAGCTGGTCCTGGGCGGCGACCGCCCCGCGCCCTTCGAAGCAGAGCCGCTGCTGCATGGTGCGCGTCGGCTGGTTTTGCGCCCATGGGTGCGCCTGCATACTGGTGCACGACCGCCGTCATGCACCTCCCGTGCCTCAGCAGCTGTGCACGGGAGCCTGCTAGTTGCCACGCAGAGGCCTGCAGTATCATGCAGCAGCCCGGCAACAGTGCACGAGGCCCCAGTCTGCCGGGGAATAACATGCATGGTCATGCAGCCCTCCTCCGAAATCACACCATGCAACATCTTGCCCAACCATCAGCTTGCTTTCTCCCCCACTCAAACGCCAGATCTCTACCACCTTGACCGGATGGTCACGTCAATATCCACGGGCAGCAGCCAAGGGCTCGAGGAGCTGCAGAGCTTCATGGAGGGTGTCGCAGGGGCGGGGACGGCGCAGCAGCATGATTGTTATGAAGAGGACTATTATGAAGGCCACTGGGACGGCGAGGAGGACGGTGGCTGGGACGAGCACGGGTGGTGCGACGGCGACGGCGGCTTTGATGCGCGCAGCCTTGGGCGCGCCGCGTCGGGGCTGCGGTCAGGGAGCATCAGCCGGACGCCCGGGCGGCGGCCGCCGCAGCGAAGCTTAAACCGGCCAGGGAGCGGCAAAGCAGCGGCGGCAAGCGCCGGCAGCGGCGGCAACGGCACAGGCAGCAGCCGTGGCAGCCAGCGGAGAGGTGTGCGGTAGCAAAGGCCGCTGCGCCTCTTGCACTCCTGTAATCATAAGCGCAGTCGCGGCGATGCGTGCCTACTTGTGTGTGCAGAGTGATGAGTGCTGTCCCGACGGGAAGGGCCCGATGCAGCTAATTGCACACCATCGGGGCCCACCTGCCATTGCACGCACTCTGGTCCAGTCAAGACACCCGCTTGGTATATCAGGCATGCGTAGGCATGTTGCAGTGCGTTCGGACTATGCAATCTTGATGTGCCTGCCGGGCTTGACTCGTGTGTTTGACCACGCTGCGTTCTGATCTGAAGAAGCTGCCTGACAGTCGCCAATACGTGCCGTGCCTCTGATAAGTAGAACCATACGATGAATTTTGATTGTTGAAGGGCTCAGCAAGCGCGGAGGGAGAGGAGAGAGGCGCCAGATCACTTCATGCTGTTCTGACTCAACCGGTTCCTTACGTAGAACGCTCTTGAGCTGGATCGCTAACCGGATAATGCGCAAGGTGCTGGTGCGTATCAAGTGGCCCTAGACTGCCCGCGATTTCAGCGGAGAAGCACTCATCAGCTTTGCGCCGAAAGGCAGAGCGCACGTTTGTACAGTCACGCCATGCCAGATCACGGAAAATTATACCGTCACACACGCAGGCATGGTCGCTGGTGCTGGTGCTGGTGGCATCGGCGCTCGCGCCAGCCACGGCGCTCAGCGCCGACTACCAGCCCTTCGCAGACTTAATGGGTTACAACACCGGCCTCGCGGAGTATTGGAACGGAACAGATCCATGTAACGGTGCGGAGCGGCACACGCGCACGACCGGCCATATTTCTTGGGGCGTGTGCGCCCTGCGGCATCCGCCCACCATGTGCATCGCCTCCGCCTTGTTTATCATTGCAGCTGTAGGTGTCATTTGCGAATGCCCCTTGCCACCCGCCTTGCAGGCCCTTGGAAGGGCGTCACATGCAACACAAACGTCCCGGCCCGCGTCACCAATCTGGTGTTGAATGGGGTGGGGCTCGTTGGGCCCTTGCCGGAGTCCCTGGGTGAGCCTGGCACAAAAACACATGCATGCCAGCAGGGAGTTCTCAGAGAGCATGCGCCGCTGCTGGGTGCATGTGCAGCGGCGCCTCATGGCGTGACTGCAAAAAACGCTGCAGTAGCAGTATTCTATGGTGGCATGCCGCTGCTTGCGTCAGTGCTTTCGGCAATCGCAGGAGCAGCAGCAGCGTGCAAGCGCCTGCTGATGTGTCGTCGCAACGGGAAGAGCCGCCCCTACAACCTCTCACAGCAGACCACCCACACTGCAAATCGGGTGTCTTGCAGGCAACCTGACATACCTGCAAGAGCTATCACTGCAGAACAACAACTTCACGGGCACAGTGCCCCTTGAGCTTGGCAGCCTAGCGGCGCTCAGCGTGCTGGACTTGTCCAACAACCAACTGTCAGGTGGGCGGCAGCCAAGGGGCCGGGGCATCAGGGTAAGTGCAAACACCAGCGCTATGCAGCAGCTGCACGGCTGCGGGGTCGCGGCCAGCAAGGCGCCGTGCCCAGAGGCACGCAGCGCGATACACCCAACCCACTGCCGCACCCAGATGTCACCATCATGCATCCTCGCCGCGCTCAACCTTTCCCACCCGCACTGCCGGTCGGCGCTGATCAGGCAACTCACAGGCAGGCCTGGACGCGCTGGGGTATGCCGCGGCCCTGTCATACATCAACATCGGCCGCAACCCCGACATGACAGCGCTGTGGCCTGAGACGTGGGGCAACCTGACAGTGCTGACAGACCTGTACGCCGACCAGACAGGCCTGAGCGGTGAGTGTAGAGGGCCGCAAACGCAAGCAGCAGGCTGCAAGGGTTGCGGCCTTGAGGGGAGGGGACCGGCCGCACGCACGCACGACGGCCGCGTCTGAGCTGCGGGGTAAGGCTGCGGCGCTGCTTGCGGAGGCGCACCCTCTTGCTGCCACTTTCTTTTGTGTACAGCCACGACCCGTCATTCCACTCTGCAATTTCCAGGCACCCTGCCCTCAAGCTGGGCCAGCATGTCGTCAATTAAGGCGATTGACCTGTACCTGAGCTGGTGGGAGCCGGGCACTCCCCAGTGGCCCAACTGGGGTGCCATGAGCACCCTGGAGTTCCTGGACCTGTCGTGGGGCAGCGACGTGGAGGTGACCGGTGAGTGGCGTCGTGCTGAGGTGAACGGCGGAGTGGCAGCTCACATCACGTCAGGTCTCAGTGGCGCGCCCTGGCACAACCTGACATTCTGCACGGCTCCGATTGGGTGCACGACGCTTGGTGCTCTGAACCTCGGTCACGCCCAGCAGAGGCTACACCTCTGTCGCCCCCCGCCCTCACGCCCTTGCACGCTCACAAATCCCTGCGGCAGCGCCCATCCCTGCGGACTGGTTCACGAGCACCGGCAGCCCCGGCATGAAGAGCCTGCACACCCTGCGCCTGGCCGGCATCAACTGGACCGCGCCGCTCGACCCAGCCTGGGCGCAGCCGGGGGTGTCGCTATGGGCCGGCGGCCTGGGGTCCCTGGACCTCAGCGGGAACCCCCCATCGCCGTCGCCAAGAGGATTTCCGCCAGAGTGGTTGCAATTCTCCGCGCTCAAGTCCCTGCAGGTGGGCGGAGCGCTCGCAGGCTAAGTAGACGCCCCACGCATTCCTTGGGGATTGGCCGTGTGGTTTCACTGGACGCAGACCAGCCCCACGGTTGCTGGGCGCCCCAGATTACCCGGCGTGCTCGTGCGCACGGCACCCTTGCCGACGCTCGCACTTTGCCCTTTTTACTCCCCGCACACACCCCTGCAAATCTCCGACTGCGCCCTTCAGCTTCGAGACGCGGCCCTCAATATGTCGGGCCCCTCCCCGCTGTCTGCCTTCACGAGTGCAACCGCGCCGCTGATGGCCAGCCTCGAGGAGCTCGACCTGGGCGGCAACCCCATGCTTGCGTGGAGCGACCCGGCGCAGTCCATCTTCTGGGCCAACACCACGGCCGGCTGGGCGAGGCTCTTCGAGCTGTGAGAGGCAGTGATTGCTGGGTGTAGAGCGTCCCTTTGGCGTGCAAGGGGTAGAAGCGGGGCTGCTTGCGTGCAGCGTAGAATTGGTCAACCTTGGAAGCACGAGCACCCTGCCTTGGCCTGCCGCGTCCCGTGCGGCATGTCGCAACATCCCTGTGCGCCTCCCTGCCTCCTGTGCCACTCAGACACCTGGATAACACAGGACTGTACGGCGATGATGGCCAAGCATCCTGGCCAAACCCTCCCTGCAAGCTCAACATCACAGGCTCCAACATAAGTGAGACCGCTCGATCGCAACGCCTTTATTTTTCAGTCAAATTCACGTCCACATCCCACCCAACATGCAGACGCATGGGTCGCCGTGCGGCAGATGCCGCTTACTCTTGCATAACCGCGTGCGCTCACCCCACCCCCCCTGCGTCGCAGCCTTCGGCGCACAACCGGACCCTACAATGTTGTGCCGGCTCGACACACAGCCCGAACACGACGCCCTGCTGGCCTGGATGGCTAAGTTGACGTCGCCAGAGACACACCCCATGCTGGCGGCCTGGGGCGCCAACGGCACCAACGGTGCGGCTGCCGCCTCACCTCCGTCAACCCTACTTACGGCGCCAGCGCCTTGCGTGCCAAATGCGTGCCAAATGCGCGCCAAATGCGCGCCTGCCTGGCCCTCGTCTCAGGGTGGTGGCCGGCCGTGTGCACCGTCAACATATGCTGCTTTCTCCCCTAACAACCACAGTCCCGGGCGGCCACTGCCAGTGGCCGGGCGTCACGTGCGACCCTGCCACCTGGCGCGTCACCATGCTGCACGTCGACTCGTACGCCTTTGCCCAGAAGCTAAGCGGCCCCCTTGACGACTTCAAGGACCTCACGGCGCTGCGCACGATCTGGCTGCCCTACAACATGCTGACCGGGACGCTGCCGGCGGCGTGGACGCAGCTGCAGGCGCTGTCGGACATTGACCTCAGCGGCAACCAGCTGGCCGGCCCGCTGCCGGACCTGTGGGGGCAGATCGCGGTGGGCATGCGGAGCATCAAGCTCAACATGAACAATTTCCAGGCGAGTGCTCGTGCCTGGCTTGCAGGCGTCCCCACCTCGCACCAGCCACAAGGGCAGGGGCTGGACACCTAATACCAGGCTGCGCTCACCTTGTGTACATATCTTGCGTACATCGAAGCCCTTTCAAGTTTGTGAGGAGTCTGCCTGAAGCACCTGCTCGATACTCTCGACTGTCGTGGCCTCTGTTGTCCAGGATGCATTCATGCACGCTCTCCCTGCCCTCCCTGCTGCGACCGATACCACAGACCACGATCCCTCCCTCCTGGGTTTCATCCAGCGACGGCCGCGTGTGGAACCTGGACACCTTGATGTGCGCCCCCTGCGGCCTCCAAGGCACCCTGCCCGCCGGCTGGGACGACGCCGCGCTCCGTGTGCTTGAGCTCAGCTCCAACGACTTCACGGGGCCGATCCAACACGTCATCGCGGGGTCGCCTGGGTTGGATACGCTCCGCATGGCCTACACTGGCATACAGGACGAGCTGGGCCCAGGTTGGGCGTTCAGCGGCGCCAGCCCGCTGACCAGCCTGGACCTGTCCAACAACCCCGGCCTCAACGGGTCCATCCCGCTGGGTGAGAAGCCGTGCCGTCGTTTCAGCTCTCCCCTCCCTTGCGCTGCGAGTTTTGCGACTTGGGGACCCCTCGCATGCTGGCTTCCACAGAGTAACCCTTGCGGTGGCATCATGTCGGCCAAACGCCACATTGTCCGGTCCAGCTCACGAACGCTCACCTCACACCATCCGTGGTTGCCGTCGAACCACACGCAGAGCTGCTGACGTCATCTGTCCAGTTCCTGCACCTGGGCTTCACCAACATTTCGGGCGGCCTCCCGAATGCCACCGGCGCCAATCCTTCACGACTCCTGGTGCTTGACTTCTCCCAGATCCCCGGCATCACGGGCGCAATCCCCCCTAGCTGGGGCCCCTTGCTGGCGGGTGTGAGCTGCATGATCCTGCAGGGGACAAGCCTGTGCGGCGCGGTGCCGCAGGGGCTGCCGTGCTTCAACATCGCAGGGACAAATTTGGGTGAGTTTTTGATTCTGACGGGTATTGCTGGTGCTCTCTGCACATTTCGTTGCGCCTACTCGTGCACACACTGTGTCATGGTTACGGCCCTAAGAAGCAAAACCCCGGCCTGCAGAAGCAGCGGGGTGCTGAGCGCATGTCGCGCCGATTTTGCATTCGGGACAGGTCCCTGCCCTCCTCTCTTGCGCGCATGCTCTCAGGCAGGAATTGCTCGGATCTCACCCCCCTGGCGACCTCCCTGCAAGACGTGCCGGACTGCGTCATGCCGCCGGGCCTTTCTGGTTGCCCCTCCGACCCTTATGGCCTGCCGGTGTCATCTTGGAGCGGGGTCACAGCTGATTACCGCGCCTTGCAAGGCATCAGGCACGCCATCACCAGCAGCGGCATCTTTGGCAATGTGACCAGCAATGGCACATACGCCAACACAACCAGCAACGCAACCAGCAACGCAACCATCATCAACGTGACACTGGGCGCGGACCTGTTCCCCTGGCCCGCGCCCTGCCATCCGGGCAGCTACACGCCCGGCCTGACCTGCGACGAGCCCACGCGCCGCGTGACCGGCCTGCGGATGGCGGACGCGCTCCACTGCCACTCGCCGCCGTGCTTCTGGTCGGGATGGCCTGTGCGGCCGGTGCCAGAGTTTGCGGCGCTTTCTGAGCTGCAGCTACTGGACCTGTCAAACATGGGCATGCAAGGTGGGCCGGGGCGCCGACGATTTGGGTCATTATGCGCCGGTCACCTTGTACAGCTGGCAAACAGCTGGGGCCGCGGGACGCATTATTATGTTGGGGAGGGTGGGGGCGCAAGGGAAGCGGCTTGCAAGGGCGCGACCCTTGGTCTGCAGCCCGTGTGTGGGAGCTCCTCCGCGTGCGTGCACATACGCACATGCTGGCGCTGGCATGCATGTACATCAAACGCATGCCAAGCAGCCAGCTGCCGCCCCACCAAACTCCAGGCACCCTCCCCGTTGAGTGGTCCAGCCTGTCTATGCTGCGGGACCTGTTCTTAGCCAACAACAGCCTCAACGGCACCATCCCCTACACCGGCGGCGCCGCTTTCATGGCCCCCCTGAGGACCCTCGACATCACAAACAACAGACTCTCGGGCGCCCTGCCACCTGAACTCAGCGCCGCCGAGCAGCTGCTCCTCAGCTACAACCAGCTGACTGGGCAGCTGGGCCCCGCGCTAAACGGCGCGGTCAACCTGCGGCGGCTGGTGGCGCCGGGCAACAATTTTTATGGCTGGCTGCCAGACCTGTCGGCGGCGGCGCAGCTGGTTGAGGTCGACCTGGGAATGAACATGCTGACGGGGGCGCTGCCGGGCAGCTTTTCCAGCAAAGGCCTGCAGCGCCTCTGGCTGGAGGGAAATATCATCGGCGGCTCGGTGCCCGATGCGGTGCGGTCAAGTGATGCTCGCTTGTTGGCGTGTGTGGCTTTCGTTGGTGTCTTTGTGCAGGTCTTGGTTGCTGCTCAGAGGGATGTGTGCGTGGAATTCTGAGTCTGCAGACGTGTGCATGCCATCAACCGCTGCATGTGTGTGCCCCCCTCCCTGAGCTCGACGCTCAACAGCTATACCATCGCTTACGCACATCCGCAGTGGGGCAACCTATCCTCCCTGTCGTCTCTGTCCTTTGGGGGCGCGGGCCTGACCGGGACGCTGCCCACCTCCTGGGGAAGCTGGCGGGGCATGCGGGAGTTTGTGATACAGAACGCCATGGGCCTCACATGTGAGCAGGGTTTGCTAATGCTGCCGGATGTTGATTGCTCGCTCTTACTACATCTGGATAGGCAAATGGTTGCTATATGCGCCTCCTCCCCTTCCTGCTCAACACCACCCTGACGACCCCTGCATGGGTCGGAACTGCCGTTGGATCCTCTCTCCTGCACGTCCCTCAGCCACGCTGCCCGCCAGCTGGGGGGCGTGGGGCCCGTCCCTCCGGAAGTTCCACCTTCTTGGCGGCGGCTACCAGGGCACGCTGCCCGCGTCCTGGGGTGCAAGCTGGTCTGCGGTCGAGTCTCTTCGGCTGGAAAACATGTTTATCAGCGGCGCTCTGCCGCCCGAGTGGTACAACGCCACCGCAGCGGCTGCCTTCTTCAACCCGACCGTCAACAACAGCACGCTGGTCAACAACACCGCGGTCAACGGCACCACTTCAACCAACGGTAGCACCTCAACCAACGGCAGCACCTCGACCAACGGCAGCACCTCGACCAACGGCACCAGTTCGACCAATGGCAGCGCCACGGCCGCCCGCGGCGCGTTCCCAAACCTCAGGGAGCTGTCGCTCTCCGGCCTCAACAACCTGACGGCCCCGCCCTGGGCCGCCCTGCGCGCGTGGCTCGACCCCAAGGCGGCGTCCCAGCAGCTGAGGAGCCTGAGGCTCGCCGGGCTCCGCGGCTTGGCAGGCGCGGGGCTGGACGGCGGGATCGCGGCGACCTACAGGAACCTGTCGGCCCTTGTGCTATCAAACATGGCCCTCGGAGGGCCGATCCCCGCCGGCTGGGCGTCGCTGCCGCCTGGGCAGCTGTCTGTGCTTGACGTCTCCAACAACAACCTGACCGGCACTCTGCCGCCCTGGCTTGTGTCGTTGATGGGGCCGCCGCCACAGCCGACGATGGGGCTGCAGCCGTCGCAGCCGCCGCAGCCTTCTGGGTGGGTCGAGCAGCGCGGGTGGCTGCTGGACGTGTCTCGCAACAACTTGACAGGTGGGGGGCCGGCATCACGTTGCTGTCTGGGGCTTTACTGCCTTTTCCCGCTGTTCACGCCAGTGCTTACGCTCTACATTGCTGGCTGAGCTTCAGTCAACTTTCACGGCAGCACGCGACAGTGCTGCCGCTTGCTGCTCTCCACTGCCTCACGCCTTCGCGACGCCTGCGCAGGGACGCTGCCGGCGGAGTGGGGCACCTTTGCCGGCCAGGGAGGCCACGTGCTGAGCGTGGCGGGCAACGCTCTGCAGGGGGCGCTCCCGCCGACGTGGCAGGCCATGGCTTACACCAGCCTGGGGCTGGACCTGTCCAGCAACACACTGAGCGGACCCATACCAGCAGGGTGGTTCAACACCAGTGCGATGGCAAACAGGACGAGCATGGTGATGTTCTTCAACCTTGGGTGAGGTTGGCGGATGCATCGAGTCGCCTGCTGGCCGCTTGCAAGCGAGGCGGCCTGCATAAGTCAGCAGTTCTGCATGACTGATTGCAATTGCTGCGTTTGCGTGGCTCCATTCGCGAATCTCCATGCCGCAACAGCAAACCCCCTGCCCCCGTGCCCCTTGCCCCATCCACAGCAACAATCTGTGCCTCTGCGGCGACCTCCCTTACTGGCTGGGCGTCGCCTGGAACTCTGCCGGCAACACAACGTCCCTCGGCATGCCCTGCGCCCAGTGGCCGCCGCAGTGCGACCCCGTGATGCCGGCGCCTTGGTACGTCGACAACGGCCCCCTGCTCGCCCTCAAGCCGCTCATCAACACACCAAACCCGTGGGCGCTGCAGACCTGGAATCAGTACAGAGTGGCGTGCACCAACTCGAACGTGACGGGCACGTGCGCGCCGTGCGACTGGCAGGATCCGTCTTGCGGCGTCGTGCGGGCAGCAGACGGCCTGCTGCTGTGCAACTGGCGGTTTGTGAGCTGCAGGGACAGGCGTGTAATGGGGCTGCACCTCGGGCGCAAGGTGGGCGCCGCTGGGGACGGAAAGGTTTATCTGGCTGGGCTGGGCGGAACGCGCAGGCGCGGCCTGCGTTGCTTGCATGCGATCTGGGTCATAGTGGGATTTTATGGTTGTTCGCCAGCATCGTGCGAATGTGGGAGGTGAAACGCTGGGGCATGTCTTTGTTCGGACCGCACTGCACCGTGCACGTCTCCCAAACCCCTCTTGCAGCAGCAACGTTGCCCGGACAGCCGCTTTCCCGCCGGCCCTTGACCCTTGCCCCCTCGCCCGGGCCCTGCCTAATCTTTTTTGAACTCTCAGGGCCTGCAGCTGCAGTATATACCTGCATTCCTCGCCAATTTGACTGCCCTGGAGATCCTTGACCTTGACGGCGACATGCACTCCGACCAAGACACAGTCCTGGGCGGCCCTCTCCCACCCCAGCTCTCATCCCTGGCTAATATGACGTCGTTCGGCGTCACGGGGCCGGTCAACGGCACCATACCTGCCACATACTCGGCTTGGACCAAGCTGTCTGCGTTCAGGGTGTCGCGGACGGCGCTGGGCGGGACGATACCGCCCAGCCTGTTTGCGTCGTGGCTGGCGCTGACGGCGTTTTCAATCGAGGGAGCCCAGATCACAGGCACAATTCCGCCGATGTTCAACAATACGCTGCTCAAGGAGTTTGTGGTGGAGCGCACGCCCGTGTCAAACAGCGGAACGCTGCCTGCTTGGTTCATGGACGCAAGGGCCGTCGGGCTGAAGAACATGCAGCAACTCGGGTTTGGTGAGTGGGAGGGTTCGGGTCGGGACGTTGCAGGTCGCCTGGTTGGTTGGCCAGCAGGCTACTATGAATCTCTCCATATGAGTATGTGGCTGGTCCCAGGCACCACATGAGCCTGTACCCGCTGGCCACTTGCAGCCCAAGCTGCAGCCTTCTCACCAACCCCAACGCCGACGCCAACGCCCGTCACCCCCCAGGCGGCACCAATCTGACGCTCCCCTCCTGGCCGGCCTTCAAGGCGGCGGTCAAGGCTAACAACTGGACGCTCAGCATGCTGTCCGCGCCGGCCTGCGGGTTCACCGGCCCCATCGGCCCCATGGCCTTCCACTTCCCCCAGCTGATCGCGCTCGACCTCTCAAACAACGCGCTGACGGGGGCGGTGCCGTGGGACCTTGGGCAGGGGGCAGCAAAAATGCAGTACTTGATCCTGTCAGGCAACAATCTGAGAGGTGGGCCCAGCGTGCGTGCGTGGGTCCCAAGGGGTTTGGTCTGCTGGCCGTCAGGGGAGAGCGGGGCGCCTGTTTGGCCAGTGGCTCATAACATGGCGCTGGCTCTGGCTCTAGCTCTAACTGGGGCTCTGGCTCCGGATCCGGCAAAGAGTGCAAGGCAAAATGCTGTGCTCATCAAATTGCACTGATGCCACAGGCACGCTGCCATCCACGCTGGCGTCGGCCTTTGTCGTCGGCCCCAACACCTACAACATCCTCCAGCTCTCCGGCAACCAGCTCGTCGGCACGCTGCCCGCGGCCTGGGGTGCGGCCGGCGTGCGTTTCGGCCGATTCAGCCTCGCGCAGAACTACCTGTCCGGCCCCCTGCCTGACAGCGGCTGGGGCGGCATGGTGCTGAACTCGTCCGATGTGGATCTGTCGCGCAACAGCTTGTCTGGGCCGATCCCTGCCGGGTGGTTTCCGACGCCGCCGGCGCTGGCGCCCAGCAATACGTCGGGCGGCAGCAATATGTGGTGCGTGGCGGGTGGTGCAAAATCTGAACGTGTTCCTTCCGTCAAAGGCTTTCTTTTGCCTGACTATTGGCTGCTGCTGGGGGCATCCTGCCATGAACGCGGTCAAGTTTGTGCCTGTTTTCAATAAACGCCCCAGCAAGCTTTGGTGAATTCGTACAGGTGGTTTGTGCGCGCCACTCCATTTCGCCCCCAACCTTTGCTGGCGCCGCAGGTTCAGCCTGCAGCTCCACCACAACCCGTGCCTCTGCGGAGAGGCGCCTGCGTGGATGGCACGCAGCATGAGCGCAGACCTCTGGGCCAACGGCACCGGCCTCTGGGCAAACTGCGCTGCATATCCAATGATGAGCGGCGCGGCCAACAGCACCACCAATGGGACGGTCAACAGCACGGTTAACGGGACAACCAACGGCACAACCAATGGCACGGTCAACGGAACGGTCAACGGGACGAGCAGCAGCGCATATCCCAACGGCACCATGTGCATGGCCAACGGGACTGTCATCAACGCCGCCGCCGCCAACTGCTCGGTCTGCGGGACCCCTGCCGCACAGCCGCCGCCTCTCTCGCACCTAGACGCGCAGCCGCTCGCCGCGCTCCGTGGCGCGATGGCGTCGACACCGACCCCCAACGCGACAGCGCTCGCGGCCAGCTGGAACGCGAGCGACCGGCCGCCGTGCAGCGAGTTCGACCCCTTGTGCGTGCCCTGCAACCTGACCATGCCGGCGGCCGGCTGCGGCGGCCCCGCGCCGGCGGTCGGCGGGCAGCCGCCTCAGTGGTACTGCAACTTCCAAGGGGTGGCCTGCAGGGAGAGCCGCGTTGTCGGGGTCAACCTGACCGGCGCCAACGTCACGTTCTCAAGCATCCCAGCCGGCGCGCTCACGCTGCGCAAGGCGGAGTGGTTTCGTGAGTGGCAGGGGGGTTGAGGGGTGGAGACTGAGGCGGCTGGGGAGGATGGAGGCGCGGCCAGCGACTGGGTAGTCAGTGGCGTTTGACAAGTTGGGTTGATGTCAATCTGCGACAGACAATTACCATCATGAAGCGCAACCTCCGGTGCTTTGGTGGGGAACTGATGTGACTGCTGCGCATGCACGCCCATCCCCGCGCATTGCAGTCCTGAGGGGCAATTATTTCCAGAGCGGTCCCCTGCCAGCCAACCTCAGCTTGGATGTGCCGGCCCTCAGCGTGCTGCAGATCCAGGGCGCCAACGCGTCACTGGGGAGCATCCCTGCTGACTGGGGGCAGATGCCGGCCCTTAAGTCGCTGTGGCTGGGCAATGCTTCACTAACTGGTGGGTGCAGGCATGGGCTTCGGTTCCACGCTCTCATCATATGCCTTTCAGGCGCAACAAGCAGTGTGTGTGGTGCATGTGAGCGCACGCGACTCAAAGAATGAGCATGTATGCAGCGCCCCGCTTTCTGATATTGCCGGCTGTCGGTTGCATCCAGGACACAGCAACCACACATATCATGCCACCTTTTCGCACCACAGGCTCCCTGCCGGCGACCCTGAGCCCCTTGATGCAAGACATCGTCCTATGGGGCATCACCTTCACAGGCGCCTCTGGGCTGCCGCCTGCATGGTCGCAGTCCAACACACTGCGCAGCCTCGCCTTCACGGACGTGATGGGCCTGACGGGGTCCGTCCCCATGGACTGGCAGTCCGGCATGCCAGCCCTGGACTCACTGATTTTCAACAACGTGCCCGGACTGGCGACCGCCCTGGACTCTTACGCCGCCCTGGTGTCCGCGCCCGCGCACTCCAGCCCGTCGCCGCCCGTTAACTTTACTGGGAACTACACCGGCCTGCGCAACGTGAAGCTCATGCGCATGAAGCTGGCCGGCACGATCCCAGATGCCATGTTTGCCACCCAGCGGCTGGTCAACCTGAGCCTCGCCAACAATGCGCTGTCCGGCTCGCTCGGCGGCGCCGCTTGGGCCAACGCGACGGTCGTCGGCCTCAGGAACCTGGATCTCTCCAGCAACAACCTGACGGGGAAGCTGCCGCCGGCCTGGAGTGCCCTATGGCTGGTGTCGCTCAACCTCAGCCGCAACGTGCTGTCAGGTGGGTGGGGCGCGTTGAGTTGCACCACCCTTTGGCAAAAGGGTGGGCGCGTCGGGTGTCAGGAACCTGTGCGGCATCGTGGCCACGGCAACTGCAATGGCCTGCACAGCACCGTTGTTTTCTGTCATCATGACAACCCTGACTCATCTTATGACCGACCCCCGGCAGGCTTCCTGCCCAGTGAGTGGTCGGCCATGCCTGCGGGCAACGGCACCGAGCTTCAACTCTTAAACAACAACTTGACCGGCCCCATCCCCGAGGCATGGAGCGTCCGCTCCGCGTCCTGGGCCAACATCAGCGTGGCCGGCAACCCCGCGATGTGCGGCGCGCTGCCGACGTGGTACACTGCGCGCTTCCCGGCGTCGGGGCCCATGGTTGCAGGTGCGTGCGCCCAAGCAGGGGCAGCAGGGGTTGGAGAAAGCAACGCAAACCAGCCAAGTACTGCGCGTGCCTGCAGGTGATCCTCTGCCTCAGCGCGCCCGTTAATCATGGTTGTGGGCGTTTGCCCACAAACGCAACTACCTTCGACCCAACCTGCCGCTGACTTTGATCCATCCACCCTCCGCCCTCACCCCGCATGGTAAAGGCACCCAAATGCCATCACTCTGCTCGCCGCTGACGCAAGAGTTCATTCTCACGGCCGTTGGTGGGAACTCATCGGTCGCTGGCCGCGGCGTGGCGCTGATTCAGTCCAGCAGCGTCCCGCCGCCGCTGCTCCAAAACGTGATCCTCAACGCGGTGCTGCGCTGCCCCAACTGCACGAGCGACGTCGTGGTTGGGCCGTTCACCCTGGTCTCAAACATCAACGGCACCCAGACCTGGAACGCGTCCATTGGGCCCAGCTTCCTGCGCCAGGTGAGTGGGTAGGGCTGCGGGCGCTGGGTCTAGCAGGCCAAGAGAATGGCTGGAGCGCTTTGCATATGTGCTGACTCATTTCAGCGGGGTTGAACGTCGTCTGGTGTCTGCATGTGCTACGCCCCATGGGCGTGTTCCCTCCAGTGCATCCACCACCCCCTGGCTGCGTTTGCACAAAAGGCTCAACTCTTTGGCCCGGCTTTCACGGCTTGCGCTCCGCAGACAGGCGTCTACAACGTGTCTATCTCAACCACGCCGCTAGGCGTCACGTTCACCCGCCTCACCGGCATACCCCTTCCGCTCACCGTCATGCCGGCGCCGATGTCGCCCGTCACCTCCACCATGGCCGTCTCCGCCCCTGAGGGCGCGCGCTCCGGGAGCCCCGTGACCGTTTCCCTCCACCTGGCCGACGCATTCGACAACCCCGTGACAAATTTGACCGCGGCGGCTCTGAAGATTGCGGGCGTCGTGACCGGCCTGCAAACCGTGCCCGGGCCCAACCTGACAGCTGCGGCGGGGCCCGGCAACTGGCTGTACCAGATGACGTTCGCAGCTATCCAAAACGTCACCTTCTCGCTGCAGATCGACGGCGCCCTGGCGCGCGGCCCCTTCGCCTTCCCGCGCGCCGGCGCTGCGGAGCGCGCCGTCGACCTGGGCGCGTCGCTGCGGGCCGCAGCGCTGCAGGCAGACGGCGCGGCGCCGGCCGCGCCGCGGTCGCAGCTGTCGGCCGGCGGCGCCATAACCGCCAACGCGTGGCACGTGGTGCACATCCCGATCGTCCGGATCCTGCCGCCAGCCCTGGGGCCGTTTGTTGCGGACCCTGGGCTGTCCGCCACCCTGAAAATCCAGGCGCTGAACGGCACGAGCGGCGCGCCCGACGCGTCGCGGCCGCCGCTGCTGTTTACTGGCGCGTGGTCCTGGACGAATGGAAGCTACGTGGTGCCCCTGCGACTTGCGGTCGACGCGGCGAAATCCAACACGACGTTCGCGGCGACGCTCTCGTTGGCGTACCCCTCGGGCGTGCAGGTGCGCTGGGGATCGGCGCAGGCTTGGGAGGGGTGCGCTGCGTCGCAGCCCTGCTTGCAACACGCCGTGAGGTGCAGGCGCAAGTTGATTAGGACGCTTGCATCCTTTGCCGCACAGCAGGGGTTCGGGGCGAAAGCCCTGCAGCTGGCCGTTGGTTAGATTCTCACCGCGACCGCCGGCGCCCAATGCATGCCTGCAGGCGACCTGGGACGTGCTGCTGCTGGCGACCCACAACTTTGCGGCCCCCGACAAGAGCACGTTCAGCGTGGTGACCTTCTCCCCGTCAGGCGCCACACGCACTGGGGACCCTGTTTACGTCGTGGCGCGGCTCATCACCGCGCAGGGGCGGCAGGTGTACGTAGCGAGCAATGTCAACTTCACCATCACAGGTACGCGGGCCGCCCGTGGCCCCCTATCTTCACCTGTCACAGACTAGAGGCTGGATTCTTTTGCAAGTTTGCCAGCGCCTGCCTCCTGCGTGCGCCTTGCGAGTTTGGTGGGGCCCAGCTGGCGCGCAGCGGGTCGGCGCCGGCTACAAAGGATGGATTTGAATCTGCCACAGCTGTGGGTCTCAGGCCGCGCCCATCAGCTCGCCACCACCCCTACCCAACACCCCTCAGGGAACATCACAGGCCAGGCCACGGTGTCGCCCCTGGTCCGGGCCGCCGACGGCAACTGGTCCTTCACCTACTACCCCTCCGTCGAGCAGACGCTCACCATCGCAATGACCGTCGACGGCAAGCCCATCAAGTCATCGGCCCTCGTGGTGTCCGGCCGCTCGCCGTTCAGCGTGGACCCAGCGGCCTCCCTGGCGGCGGCGGCGCTCGTCAGCCAGGGGCTGACAGATACCGAGCCTGTCGACTCCTCGTCTTCCAGCATCATTTTCATGGGCGAGAGCTCCTTCCTGAGCATCCCCGTATTTGATGTCTTCGGCGCAAGCTTCGCGTTAGATCCGGGTCTGAAGGTCCGCCTAACGCTCGTGCCGGGAGCGCTGGAGGCGTCGGTGGTGGCGGCGTACCGCCTGCCGGCCAGTGGCGTGATTACCTTGGCCTCGCTTGCATCCACGGTCAACTCGACGGCTACCGCAGCGGTAGTGGGCCGGCGGCGGCTGCTGCAGAGCCCCAGCCCTAGCCCAAGCCCAAACCCAAGCCCCAGCACCAGCCCCAGCCCCAGCATCAGCCCCAGCCCTAGCCCCAGCCCCAGCCCAAGCCCAAGCCCAAGCCCGAGCTCCAGCCCCAGTCCAAGCCCAAGCCTCGGTACAAGCCTGAGCCCCAGTCCAAGCCTGAGCCCTAGTCCCAGCCCTGCGCTTATGCCCCACACAATGGTCAACCCAGCCACCGGCTGGCTGTACACCGGCGACTACGAGGCAGAGGCCCCAGACCCCTGGCTCAACGAGGCGGGGGGCGCGCCGCAGCAGCTGGTCTTTGAGCAGGCGGGGCCGGACGTGGGGAACCCGCTGCAGGACGGGCTGGCAGGCAACTCGTCCATGTACACGTTCCCAGGTAGGCTGTGAAGTGGACTCTCAGTGCACCAGCTTGCAGAGGGATGGCAGATCCCCCTAGAGCCGCCATGTGCGCTGCACGTGCGGTGCTTCCCCGCAGTCCATCCCTGCGGCGCCCTGCTCTTACCCTGCCCGCCGCGCCTGCGCCGCGACAGGGCTCTTCAACGCTTTCCGTGGCGTGTACGAGATCAAGATCTGGCCCCAGGTGCAGCAGCCCTACCTCGCCGTCCTCTCCCTGCGCCACCCCAATATTTCAGCCAGCTTCAGGGCCGTGGCCTTCCACATCACAGCCGTCACCGACCCCGCCGTCGCCGAGGCGGCCGCCGCTGCGGCGGCAGCGG